CCTCGCGCGCGCGCGCAGTCATTCAAGCGCTGCCTGGCCTTGAACTCCCGCGCTTGCACTCTCGAGGTCGCTACGCTCTAGTGCGGATTTTTTTTTGCCCGTGTTTTTGGGTTGCTTGCGCGCTGAGACGCGCTCGCTCGCCAGGCGGGCCCCGTGCGGCCTGGACCGGGCGGCGCCTGAGGTTTTTAGGCCCTTCGTCCTACGCGGCTCCGTGGGTGCGGGAGGAGCTGCGACGTCTTGGGAAGGAGGTCGGAGATTGATTCAGGAACGCTGGGCGTCAACACGCTCTTCTCGAGTGGTCCCGGCGTTCCCCATCTGCGTTTGCTGGTTTCCTTTGTTCCGTGGCAGAGATTTACTAGATTCTACGTCCAGCGTGAAGTTTGACGCATAGATACACTGCGTGTTTTAAACGGAATTCTATATTAAAGAAAACCTACTGAACCTTTTACAGCTCTCTGGAATCGACTATACAGATCGCGTTTGTTCGGGGCATGTTTATGATGATGGAACACTTTAAAACTAATCGTAAGCCCTAATAAGAGTAAGCAGTATGATTTTGGTTTTCAAGAGATTTTATAGGGTCCAGCTATCAGATTATCGTAGTAAAGGCATTATTAGCTTGGCATCCATTGATGGAGAAATTCCATTTGTTTGGCTGTATGCCGAAGAGTTCGATACGAGATCGGCCTGAATTCTAATTCAAAAAACTCTACCGCTCACTTGTTAGTGGCCCGCGCACCATAGCGTCGTGTCCAGCGCGAGTCTTTGGTGGACGAGCGCACGTTCGATGTGCGCGGCGGAAAGGGCTGTGACCCAGTTGCAGCGCTGCACGGTCCGCCCGGCGCGCAGCGGTCCGGACAGCGGCGCCCGCGATCGCAGCACACAATTATTCAAGCGCGGTCCGCCCTCACGCCCCCCCCCCCTGCCCCGCCCCGCACCGCCGCTTGTGAGGCGCTGCATAGCGGAGGGAGGGGCTGCAGGAGCCTGTGCCGCCAGCGCTCCGCTTGCTTTCGCGCTCGGCTGCTGCTCACGCCGCTGCTGCCAGCTTGTATCCCGTTTCCGGCGGCAAGAGCCTGGAAGGTGACTTGGACGGGCTGCGCGGGCGGCGGTGCTGGCACGCCCGGGCCCCTGGCGGCGGGAGGGGACGGGGAGCGGAAGACTGTCGAGTGACTCGAGGGTTCGGGGCAAGTGTGGAGACGACTGGTGGGCGTGGGCGAGGGGAGCGTTTTTGTTTTCGCGGGTTACTTCCTTGCGCATGCTGGCCACGCCGCGCCACGAAGCGGCGAGGGAGGTGGTGCGTTGCGGGTTGGTACGATGGCTCGTGTGTGTTCTATTTTCCCATATTTACGCGCGAGGATGCACAATCGCCGTTTCTTTTGTTCTTCCCATAGCGAGTTAAAAAGGAGTTCCTCTAAATGGACCAATTTGACACGCAGAGAAACGAATGACACATAGGGCGATTGTATTGCAAGAAATAGTGATGAGGGCACTTATAAGTGAGCTAACGTACATGAACTTGTTGACGAATAGAGTGCACGGACATAAATCTG